GAGCAACCAACACTGTAGATGGTGAGGGGCTTTTCCTAGCACCTGGAGATCCTGATCTCCTCAGATCCACGTAAATGGCTGATTTGTTGGCCAGCCCACTGGGTCTTAAGGTGACTTTCCAAGCAGGGGCCTTCTTGGCCTCCATCGCCTCCGTGGCCCCTTTGGCCCTTGGAGTTTGGGACCTGAGCTTCATCTTCAGTGTTGCTACCTTGTCTGGTGAGGTCTGACCCCCACTCTCCTCCTTTAGCTCATTCCTGGCCATTGATAAACTTGGACTTGGTTCCAGGTTGTCTTTCTTGGCCCCCATAATAGTCTTGCTGTGCAGGGTTCTGTTTAGGAGGCTGAGAATGGAGGCCTGAGGAGGTGATCTGCCCTCCTGTGCTGATAAAGACGTCTCTGAGGACTGATGGCCATCACCAGGTGAAGTCCCTCCCAGGGCCTGCTGGATTTGCTCACGTATGGGTAAGGGAATAGGCAGGGGACTCCCTGAAGTGGGATCAGACTTTTCAGTTATACACTTCTCTCCTGGATGAGGCTGAGGTGGTTTCCCCAAGAACTTGTAAAATTTGGCTTTTGAAGGGGCCCTAGGTACAAAGGTGGCTGAGCACGGAAAGGGGGACTGGGGAAAGGGCAAGTGTTGAGCTTCATGTAGTTGGAGATCTATGGGCTCAACAGTTTGGAGAGGTAGGTCCCACTTACGCCTCACTCGAAAACTTATGATGTGTGTTTCCAGCTTCTGCTGAATGTTAGGACAAAGGAAGGACAGCTCATGGGAGGTGTTTATGCAGGGCTTCCGATCCTTCAAGGGTGCTAGATTTCTGATATCCATGTGGGGTTGGGACTTGGGAAAAGCATGGCTGGCCACAAACCAGGATCGACGCACAGTCACAGGGATCAGACCCTCACTGATCTGTCCCAATTTCCTGTGCAAATGAACCTTTAATGTTTTTTCTAGATGTTTCTTATCCGGGCCCCTGGCTAAGTATTTTCCTGGGTCCCACTCCAAGGCCCTTATCAAGGGTCTTCCAAATTCCTTCTCAGAGTTGGTTCCCAGAACCTTCACTGGGAACCTAGCTGAGATCCTGGAGAGACCTGTTGGGGTCCTCTTCAGACACTGCCGTAGACTCTTACCAAAGATCTTCTCTACTAGGAATCTTGCTTGATACTTCCTGTGGTATCTGGGCCTGGTCCTCCATGTAGCCTGGCTGCTTTTGCCTTTAAACACAAAGGGCCTTGAGAGCCCCTGCTCTCCCTCTGCCTGACTCACCCCCAGGAATTCATCCCGAGGCCACATCAGTTCCAGAGACAGCTGAACCTTGTGGGGCAAGCTGCTTTGCTGTTTATCCCTGCTGGGCTTCCTTTGAAGCTGTGGCTTCTGGATATTAAAGATGACAAAGTCCCCTTGAAAGGTGGAAACTGACCTGTGGGCCTGGAAGGCCTGGTGGTCCACCGGAAGCTTTGGAGGGACTTGACTAAAGAATTTTGGAGATCTTTTCTCCATAGTGGGTAAAGTCTTCCC